GGCTCTGTGCCTCATGCCCAACATAAGCCACTTTGGTAACTGTTTGAAAAGGTGGCTATAACAAATAGTAATTAAAAACAGAGAAATAATCAAATACATCTGTATAATTTGAACCAGTAGCACTCATTTTCTCTCTGAATGTTGTGCTAGTTTTATAGGAAACTTCCATGGTTTTGGGGTCCCTGCCATACTCTGCTTTCCTTGAGGGTGAATAAAGCATGTCTTACATTTATAGTTCTCTGTCAAATTGTCTGCCCCCCCCCACTACCAAACAATGCTAGGATAACCCAAATATCATGTTCCTTATGAAATAAGGCTGGAGGAACTGACTATGCTTATCCAACAGAGGAGGGGGAGGAAGGATTAAGAGGAGTGTGCGATAAATGAACAATGAGGGGAACAATAGACCAGACAGGGGCTGATCAGAGGGGCAAAGGGAATTTTCACGCTGTTGAGCAGGGGCAAAAAGCACCCTCACATGTTTGTGATTTTGAGGAAGTGCTACAAAGTGGGCAATAGTGTGAGGTCCTTCTGGTGAAGTGCCTGGTGTCACCACACACGGGGAGGAACAGATGAAATGGCACATCTGCTCAGAGAGGAGCCAGAATTGCTACATTATGTGGAAGGACAACAAGGTTGAAAATAGTGAAGGCAGGCAATAAAATATATAGGCCCACTTGCCTCAGCAAACAGGATGAATTCTTCCTTCTGACCAAGACAGAAGTGCACACACCTCCTGACACCCATTCGGAGTGAGGGGAACGGAATGTGACACAGGAAGTATTGCTCTCATTTTTAACTGGTTCCATTTGCCTTCATGGCTTCAGTATACTCTGTACACTTTCCCTGACTGACTGTGATCAGTATTTTGGAGAGAACTTTTCAAAAGGCACCTAAGTAGCAGCCAAAAGGGGGAGTGACAAGTCTGAAAAGAAAATGACTTTTAGACACCACCCCAATCAAAAATATTTATTTTTGCTCCTAAAATCTAAAGAGGTAAATATTTTGTCCCTTCATAGGCAAGACAAACCACAGAATCTAGACAGAAATGGATGGAGATGAAAACTTGGAAGAGCAAAAAGACCTGCACTGTACAAGCTAAGGTAAGACAGGTTCGAAATCAAGATGCTTCAACAGGCATTAATTTACACCTTAGCTGTATGAAGAGGGAAACTGAAAAATTTTAAGGAGCAGCAAATAAGAAGCTTAAGAAAATATGAATTATAATATTATCTCATTGACTATTTCTTTGCTTATGAATCCTGGTATGAAAGGGAAGGCGGCCCTCACCATTGATTATTTTGCAGGTAAGTACACAAGGATACTTCTCGAAATGAGAATGAAGCAGTTATTTTGACATTTTTTCACCTTGTCCCTTTATAATTACACTCTTATGTTGGCATTATCTGTTTAGGCTAACTCTTGCTTTCGGATACACAAAACTAAATGGAGCAAAGAGAAAAAATGTTAATAAGTGCGGCAGACTGACGTACAGTGTGAGGGATTCATTGCACAGCCCATGGAATCCATTCGGAGGCAGCAAATAAATGTGAGGATTATCAGCAATTTCGCTGTGGAAAAGAAAAAAAGGTTCAACATTATAATAAAACTAGCAGTAAAGCCCGTTGTGAAAGCAATACAACGAGATCTAGAAAGAGGCTCTGGGGCAGTGCTCTGGCTTTGGGCAAACAGTGTCAATTTGCTGTGGTGACCTCAGCAGGGTATAATGACAGAGTCCACTGTTTTCTCCAGAGGAACTGATCTCTGCTACCTGAAGAGCAGTTGTAATTGTGAGTGATCTGTAGCCCTCACCTGGAGATTGGCAGCAATTGTTACCCAGGACAAAGTGGCTGGTTTGGAGGGTGTAGTCTATGGCATTCTACCTGTCTGAGGTCCCACCCCTCTGCAAACCCCACCCTCTCCAGGCTCCACCCCTCAAATCCCCAGGAATTTGTCAGCATGTAGTTGGCAACCCCATCTCCTTCCCAGCTAACCATCAACCTACCATTATCTCCAGCCCTCACCTGGAGATTGGCAACAATGGTTCCCTATGTGGGACTGACTGGATTGGAGGGTGGAGTCTATGGCAGTGTACCTGTCTGAGGTCCCACCCCTCCTCAAACCTCATCCTCTTCAGGCTCCATCCCTCAAATCTCCAGGAATTTCCCATCTGGAGTTGGCAACCCTATCAGGACTGGCCCCAATGTGTTTTCTCCCAAAGGTCAAAGTAGGTGACAGGACCAAGCTTAGTTGCCTACCAACAGGCACTGAAGGGAATGTAGGGTTGCCAGCTCTAAGGAGGGAAATACCTGGAGGTTTGGGGGGTGGATTCCAAGACGGGCAACAATAGTTCCCCAGGAGCCCCATCGTAAATGCACCAAACAATTCCTAAAGATTTTCCAAAACACTACTCTGTTGATAAATTGCAGCACTTTGAATTAGCACCAAAGCTTTAAGATCTCTCCAGCTGTCACCTGGAGACTGGCAACAGCTTGTCTGGAGTGTGGGCAGTATGGCATTGTATCTGTCTGAGGTCCCCCTCTTCCTCCTCCTCCTCAGACCCCACCCTCAACAGGCTTCATCCCTAAAATATCCTGGAAGTTTCCAACCTGGAGTTGGCAACACTATGTCCTTTCCTGGCAACCATCAGCCAGCCTTAATCTGCCTGTCTGTCTTAAGTTTTACACACACACACCCCACAGCCTCTGCCTAGGGAAAGGGCAGCTGACATCATTCTCCTCTCCCCTATGAGGTATGTTATGCAACTGAAAATTCCAACTGCCTTGCCAGGGGGGGGTGAGTTTGAGGTGTGGAATGGAGTGAAGTCCAATCAGCTTCCACATGCAAATGACCTTGGAACGCTGGGAGGGACTGCACAAAGCAGCCAGTCAACCCAGCCAGTGTCTTCTGAGTGGCAGTTCTTCCGGCCTAACACTAAAGGGGCCAAATTTAGAACGTTGCGAAATAGAACGTTGCTATTCAATTATTATAAGGGAGAGATTCAACTACATGATTTAAATCTGAATACATCCCTAAAATTATGTATCTGTATAAATATGCCTATTTTTTAGATTCAGATGCATTTAGACTACTGAAATATACCGTCCATGGGGCTGTCCTTGATGATTGTTTAGAAATTTCAACTGGTTCTACACACAGTACTGTATTTAGTCTCCTGATGGGACAAGTTAACTAGGAGCATATTGCACAAGCACTTTGGCACCTGTGCTAACTTTCTGTTGTTTTCTAGTTAAGAATCTGAACACCGGAAGTGAAATAATTTATATTTTTGCATTTAAAGGCATTTCACTATTGGTAATAGATAAGCAATTTGTGACACTGATAAACCTATTTATTATTAAAATAAATAAAGCATTTATTCTGCTGAGCCTGAGTTGTTGCTGTGTTTTTTATTTATTTATATTTGTTTTACACTACCCTGGACTATGTATTTTAAATTATCTTTGTAAGTCCTCCTGAATTGTATGGGATAGAAATTCTTAAAAAGCAAATAAATAAATCTATTCTGCTCGAAGGAGAAATTACAAACCATCACCACTGTCCTTTCCATCTCAATTTTAGGATTCTACATCATGTGGTATATGCCCAGTACTCAGCAGACTGGGCCAGTCAGATCTTCTCCAGTAGTACCAGACCCTTAGCCCTGGCCAGGCTTGGAAGCTGGAACCACTAGTCTTACACCTGGTGGACTGGTTGACCCAACAAGCTTCCCCTTCCAGACCAAGGCTGAGAGGGAACCAGCTCCACTTGCTCTGGAAGTAGCACCTGGGACTCATCCAGACCTAACTGGGGCCAGAATCCTGAAAAGGATTACATCCATTGAAACCAAGGTTTGGCCCAGGAGGTGGGCACAGGTGGCAAGCTTGGCACTGTGTTTCCACTGGGCTGTCTCACCACAAGCCCACTGGCTCTAGTGCTCCTGCTGGGTGGGTCCTGGGCCAGTGCTTAGCTGTCTCAGTTACTGGGGGGACAGAGGGAAGTTCTGGTGGGGGAGCTCCAACTGCAGGCTCCCCAGGGTCAGCCTCTGCAAATGATGGGCCAGGGCATCTACCATGCAGTGGTCTCCCAGAGTTTCCTGCTTTCCTCCAGGTGGGGGACTCCTCAGGCTCTTCCTCTGAGGGTTCTGAGTCAAGAAGACCCAGCTCAGTGGGGGTCATCACAGTATAAACTGATCACGAGTTTTTGTATCAGAAGATGATCCTTTTGACATCTGTTCATTTTCTGCTGTATTTGGCACAGTAGATAACTTACAGTAAAAAATTCACATCTGTTGAGTAAATTTTGGTGAGGTCAGGAAAAATTCTGAGCCCAGTATTCAAGATCACACTAAAATAAATGACAAAACAGAGACAGAGAATTAACAACAAAGGTCACACATATGATATACTTTAAGACCAACAAAAATAACACTGCACATTATGAAAATGTTTGCATTATCCAGAACTCTTTATCAGGGTGGGGGGGCTCATAGAGGCTGTGATCTTAAGGTTTCTTTCTGCATCTTCTGTAGGATGCTTAACTGACTTCAGTGGTTTCAGACTGTACTAGGGTTGCCAGCCTCCAGGTGGGGCCTGAAGATCTCCCAGAATTCCAGCTGGTCCTCAGACCACAGAGATCAGTTCCTCTGGAGAAAATAGCTGTTTTGGAGGGTGGACCATATGGCATTAAACTCTGCTGAAGTCCCTTCATAAGCTCCACCCCCAAAATCTCCAGGAATTTCCCAGCCTAGACTGTATCTATTTTATGCTGGGAAGAAGCAGCAAAATGGAAGTCATCCAGTTGACAATATAATAGAGAAAAGTTGTGCATCTGTGTACTTATTTTATTGCACTGTATCCACAAAATTGCCATCAAAACAGATATTCCTGAAGTCCTAAACTCAAGTATACATATTTTTTTAAGATCAGTACTAAAACCTTGCTAACTCCTCCTCCCTCACTATTTTGATCGGGATACTTGCCTGTGTAAAACAGGATGTAAAGAAGTTAGCTTGAGTAGCATGCTGTGCAAGGTAGTTTCTCCTAAAGGAGTTCTGACCATCTTACTGGCTTTGGATTTTCTTATGTATACAACTAGCTCATTTTTGAGCACTTCAAATCTGAGTCATTGCACAAGACAATAACTTGTTTATATCTTGGTCTGATTTTGGATACAGGCAGCCACTTTAATGCAGAGCCATTACACAGACCCTTGTGTCTAGAGAATTGGGGGGAGGGGGGAGGGAAACAGCAACAGAAATTCTACTGGGATAAGTAGCACTAGACGGTTTTGGTTCAGGTACTTACAGGTTTTTTAGCTGCGGGAGGTTCTTAAAGGCATCAGGATGTATGTAACTTAGGTTTCTAGCATTTCTAATTTCTCTGTTTAAATATTAAAAACAAAATCAGGAAAGCATTAACATTTCTGTGAATGATCTCTTCAACAGACCAGTTTTCTTAGAAAAATCTCAGAAATAACTGTCAGAGAAAAGTAAAAACAAACAAAAATACTGCTAATTGCAAGGTTCATCCCTCCCTAGTTCAAAAAATACTAAAGTCTCACAGATTTTTTAAAAGAAAAAAAACACAAGTATTTTAAAAACACACTACACCTGACTACAGTTTACATATAAAATTAAAACCAATCTTTGGGAATAAATACAAAGATAGAAAAGATGACTAGCCTTCTGATGTGTAACTTGTCCCCTGATCCCCCAAAGGTAATTTAAAAGAAATTTAAGATGGTCACTACTAAACACTACTTAAGAAATAAGAATTCTAAAAGTAAGACTTCAAGAAGTAAGACTTCTAAAATGTAATGGAACATAAACGTACAGCAGGAAGTACACAATAATTCCCTAGCCAGCCTAGAACCCTGGAGAATAATTAAGCAGAAGCTAGCAACATCTAACTAACCGTAATGAGCTGAAAAGAGTATAGAGGGAATTCAGGAAAGCACTCACATTTCTAAACACCTTTCCCTCATAATTATAACTAGACCAAGATGGCATCTTTCCAGCTATCTGGCATGGTGTGTTAAACCTTTTAACCTTTTCACAGTTAAAGTTAAGTTTTCTTGTAAGCTAACCACTACCGTAGCCATGTGTGCATGTTGGGTTCAACATCCTACTTAGTATTATCAAGCACCTGCAGAAAGAAAACTGAGACAAGCAGTATTAATACGCAATCTGTTTTTTTTGTAGATAAAGTCTTGTCGCTCCACCATGACCTCCCTGCCACAATTGAGACAGTAGGTGAACTCAAGGCCCCATGCACATCTTCTAGTCAGCTTTTGGATCAAGTCGCTCAGCTCAGCCTAGAGGAAGTTGACAGAATACTCTCAACTGTACACCCAAACACTTTCAGCCTTGATCCGTGCCCATCATGGCTCATTAAAGCTGGCCACGATGGGTTGCGAGAACCCCTAAAGGAGATTGTCAACAAGTCCCTCTCTGAAGGAACTTTCCCTGGGGCACTTGAAGCAGTGGTTTGCCCTCTCTTAAAGAAACTATCCTTGGACCCAGCTGAATTGGCAAACTATCGGCCAGTCTCTAACTTGCCCTATCTGGACAAGATTATTGAGAGAGCGGTGGCAATTCAGCTGCAGAGTTTTCTGGATGATGCTGACATACAAAACTAGAATGTCTGGCTTTCGCCCAGGCCACGGTACTGAGACTGCACTGGTCGTCCTCACAGACAACCTCCATAGGCATCTGGATCAGGGTGGATCGGCGGTACTGTTGTTGTTAGACCTGTTGGCTGCATTCGACATGGTTGACCACCAGCTACTGATCCACTGCCTCACCGACACTGGGATTCAGGGATCTGCCTTACAGTGGCTCTCCTCTTTCCTACAAGGTCAGGGACAGAGGGCGGCGCTAGGAGAGTAGGGACCCGCTGATTTTAGGAGTGCCACAAGGGGCTGTTTTCTCCCCGATGTTATTTAACATCTATATGTGCCCCCTTGCCCAGATTGTCCAGAGGCATGGGCTGGGTTGTCACCAGTATGCGGACGACACCCAGCTCTATCTGCTGTTGGGTGACCAGTCTGACTCAAAACCGGAAGATCTGGACCTGGTGTTACAGGTGGTAGCTGGGTAGCATAGGCTGAGCTGACTAAAATTGAATCCGATGAAGATGGAGGTCCTGTGTCTGAGTCAGAGCAGTCCAGGGTTACGGATCCCACTCCCAACCTTTGATGGGGTGCCATTGGTGCCAGTGTTGGAGGTGCTCCTGGATGCCTCCTTAACAATGGAGGCCCAGGCAGCAGCCACCGCCAAGTCGGACTTTTACCATCTTTAGCTGATTAGGCAGCTGGTTCCCTTCCTTGAACACGGTGACCTGGCAACAGTGATCCATGCAGTGGTTACCTTGAGGCTAGACTACTGCAGTACTCTACATGGGGCTGCCCTTGTCCCAGATCTGGAAGCTAGAGCTGGTGCAGAATGTGGCGGCCAGGCTGCTATTGAGTCTCCCTTTGAGGGAACACATTCAGCCTGCACTGAAAGCACTGCACTGGCTACCTATAGCATACTGGGTTTGCTTCAAGGTGCTGGTTCTCACCTATAAAGCCCTATATGGCCAGGGACTGCCTTTCCCCACATGTTCCTCAGAGGGTACTGCGGTCAGGATCTCAAAATCTTCTTGTTTTCCCTGGCCTTAAAGATGTCAGGCTGACCACAACTAGGGCCAGAGCCTTTTCAGTGGTAGTGCCGCTTTCATGGAATGAGCTCCCTGAGGACATCAGGACCCTGAGGGATTTATCAAAATTCCACAGGGCCTGCAAGACGGAGCTCTTCTGCCAAGCATTTGAGTGAGATACCAATTAAATTGTCCAATATCAACCGGGTAACCTATGCCTTTATTCCACCCTTGGCTGCCTGCTCTAACATCTGCGCCCACACTGAGGAAAAATGTGTTAAGGTGCCAGACACCAGATGTATATATATTGCTGACAGCTTTCGTCGTCACATATATGTAGCACCTTTGGAAATTGTTTTATGATTTTTAATTGTTTTTATTGTTTTATGATGCCAATGGCCTTGCAAGCTGCCCTGAGCCTTCTTCAGCAGGGAGGGCAGGGAATGAATGAATGAATAAATAAATAAATAAATAAATGTATTGGGTCCACAAGTTCTGCACAGACAGGGAAGATGACTGGGGGCCCCTGTCCTATAGGACCAGCGTTTGGAGGAACACTGAGGCTGCAATGGGAGGAGGCAAGGTGAGAATGGAACCAGCTCCCAAATGAAATTCGAGCTCTGCGGGATCTTCAACAATTCTGTAGAGCGGTGAAGACCGAGCTGTTCTGACAAGCGTTCTAACAGTCCTGGCCACACTGACCATCCCACATAAGCACTAGCACTTTATAAGAGATGCCGCCACATTCTAATTTTAATAAGTTGTATTTATTGTATTGCTTTGTTCTGTTTTAGATGTGATAATTGGTATTAATTGTATACTGGTTTTAACCATTGTAAGCCGCCCTGAGCCACCTCAGCGGGAGGGCGGGGTAAAAGTCTAACAAATAAAATAAATAAATAAATAAAAGACACACTCTGAATGTGGAGACTCCCTGTAGTCATAGTAAACAGCCATTGATAGACCTATTTTCCATGAATCTGCATAATCCCATTTCAGAGCCATCTATGCTTAAAGTGATCACTTCAACAATTAACAGTCTAATCCTAGACAGAGTTCCATGCTTCTAAACCCACTGAAGTCAACAGCCTTAGAAAAGTGTATCTATGCCTGGGACTGCACAGCTTAATTACTCACTGAGTGAACTACTTCATTTGTCTGCCCAAAATTTATTGCCTATTGACTACATTGTGTAGTATAAAATGCAATACATGATAAAAGAAAAAAATTACTTTGTTTAGCAAAAGATGGATTACATGAAATGAAACAAAGTGGAAACAATAATAAATAATAAGTGGGATCCAGAGACTATGAGCACGATTCTTATCACCAGTGAATCTGATGGTGGTTGGAGTGGTGGGCTAGGACCTGGAACCGCTGGGATGGAATCCCCACTCGGCCATGAAAGCTTGCTGGTTGATCTCAGACCCGTCACAGCCTCTCAGCCTAACCTCCTTCACAGGGTTGTTGTTGTGAGGATAAAGTGGAAAAGAGAATGACACAGCAAACTGCTTTGGGTCCCCATGAGGAAGAAAAGGGGATATAAGTAAAAGTAATAACAGTAAGGATAAGCAGAATGGGTGGAAAAACGTACAGAAGATTTGAACTTGTTAAAAAATGAGAGATTTTAATATGTGATACATTATTATTCAAGGGATTTATTTCCATCTACTTACATATGGATGACCTTGCTTAAATTGCTGAAAGAATCAGCCTCCAACATGTGCAGAGCTGCATCTATGGAGATGTAGCTACATTTAAGAAAGAGGAAAGAGGAGGAAGGTCACACAAGAAGGCAGATGCATATTATCAACTGGATTCATTGTATTTGTTCACTGTTTGTCTTCCTGTACTCTTTTAACATTTTACTTATTGTTTCAGATATGACATTTACCCTGAATATTTGTGATTTTTCTGTGTTGCCCACTTTGTTATACCATATTGCTACCACACTGGCCATTATATGCATCTTCATGAACATCTATGGTTCTTAGTCTTGTTTTATTATCAAACCATCAGTGGCGTATATATTTACCCAGCTCTTTACATATTTAGAATCATAGAATCACAGAGTTGGAAGGGGCCATACTGGCCATCTAGTCCAACCCCCTGCTCAATGCAGGATTAGCCCTAGAGCATCCCTGACAAGTGTTTGTCCAGCCGCTGTTTAAAGACAGTGAGGGGGAGCTCACCACCTCCCTATCTCCCTTTTAGCTCCTATAATAGAACATGTTCATGGTGGTAGTTAACTAGCATGATATCGCTGCCATATTAAAATGATAGAACAGTAAACTGATGTAAATCTCTCACACACTGTTCGTATGTGTGTATAATTTATGTTTCTCAATACACCTATACTAAACATACACACAATATTCAGGTCTAAGTCTCTGTCTGTCAAATTCAGTTCCCAGCATGCCATCACTCTCTCAGTTTTCTGTCACATGGCTAACATAATGAAGGGATGGGGCTGTTACACACAAAGGGTAGCTCAGTTCTCAATGGCATTCACTGAATGCAACAGAACAAAGTGAACAAGTTGTTACCAGGGGATACTGTTAAGAGGAGGCAAAAACTCTGTTTTCATTCCAGAACTCTGGGTTCACAAGGATGGGTGGGGGACTGAGATCTCCCCCACGTGATGTCCCTGAATACATACCTCTACTTTCTCCCATAAAGGTGAATGGCATTTATTCATTCCTGTGGGGCAAAAGTCCAAATCTGCATGTGGGTACATTGCACTGGGACAAATCCCATGTCCCAGCACCAACAATGACAGACCACAGATAGGTATCCCATGAGAGTTTCATGGGCAACTGTCTTGCTGCCCTTCCTGAAGGCTGCTTCAGGTCTGTAGGAGAAGGCCACGTGTTTCCGAGACTTTCCCCAGCAAGTGCAGTATAGAAGGTCAACTGAAAAGACTCCTTTTGTATCTTCATTGTGCATTGGTATCTTCATTGTGCATTGGAAGTACTAATTGTTCTGTCAGGAATCAAGTTTTTGAGCTGGAGCATTTCAGTTGTCCTTTTATTTTCTTCTAAGCATCAAACAATGGCAGAGGGAAATAAGCCTAGGGACTAATGAAGCTGTTCTCCAAAGCCTCAGGCACCTGGTATTTTTGGCCATTGTGTGACAGAGTGTTGGACTAGATGGGCCATTGGCCTGATCCAGCATTGGATTCCGTTATGTTCTTATGTTCAGATATGTTTCTGCCTTGCTGCCTGGGACCCTGTTCCAACGGAGTTGAGAGGAAGTGAACCTGAGCCTTGCTGCACACAGAGCACTTGGTCTACCTTTGTTCTGTGGGCCTTCCCTAAAACCTTAGCAAAACAATACTATCTGAGCAATACTCAGATAATAAACAGAAGTTTCATACTGCAACAAATAAATGGCAATGAATAGCAGCCTAAAGTAATCTATTTCCAGATGATTTTTAAACTCTTT